TTGAATTTTCTTTTTTTTTTTTTTTTTTTAGAGATTTTTGCCATAGGGCACATGTGGTCACAGGAGACAGACACAGTGAGAAGTGAGAAATCACACTCCCCCCACTCCCCCCCAAAGGATGGCCATGCCACAATTCTTTCTCCTCCATTCTCCTCTTGGGATCTTGGGCACACACACACCCCACACACAGGTGCGCCCAGTGTGATTTTCAAGCCACCAGGTCTGGAACTCAAACTGTTGGCAGCTATGTGGGAGTCTAGCAATGTAACTGCTACACCATCTGCTGGTCCCACACATATTCTCTTAATACTTGCCTGGCTAGCCCCTACTCACACTGCAAAGGTCCATTTAGTTGCATGCAGGAAATCTCATTATGAAGCAATTAACGTGACCAGACACTAAATGCAGGAAGGGTAAATCCTGTTTACAGTGAGATAGGTCTTATATCCACATGGGCCTTTTTATCACTAATCTCTTGGTAAAACTTTATAATCACAACTTCCACTTCTTTACCACCCAATCATTTCTTCATCCTTTGCAAACTTGCTTCTCGTGGCATTACTCAGGACTGTTTTTCTGAAGGCTACTAGTATCCTCCTAATCATTGGCAATAGTTTTGGCAAATACTAAGCCTCCTAAATTCTCTAAAGACACCAAGTCACCCTGTTAAGTTTCCTCTTTCTTTTCCTTCTGTGCCATACAGTTCTCTTGGGTCACTTACCCTGACTGCTCTTTTGCGGGCTGCACTGTCCTTCACTGGTTTTGCATCTGTTACCAATTAAAGGTATTCCTCTGGGATCATGAGATTCAAGTAATCGGCATTTGAATGAGGAGGAGAGGAGGAGGAGGGGGAGAAAGGAGGAGGAGGAAGAAGAAATTACAGGGACCAGCAGTTGGTGTAATGGCTATGTCACTGGACTCCCACGTAGCTGACGACGGTTTGAGTCCCGGACTGGTGGCTTCAACTCACGCCGGGCGCATGTGCGTGTGTGCTCAAGATCCTGAGAGGAGAATGGAGGAGAAGGGATTATGGCATGGCCATCCCCCTGGGGGGTGATTTCTCACTTTCTGTCTCTCTGGCTTTCTGGCGAGTGCACGCTCCCTATAGCAGAAAACCTCTCAAATAAATAAAATAACAATCAATCTTTTTAAAAAAAGAAATTGCAGTGAAGGAAAAAGAGCATTATTACTATTACATATAACTTCGGTTCATATCTAGGTCTGTTCCTCATTCTTGAGCACTGCAGCACGGAGCAGAGTAAAACTAGCTAGGCCTTGGTTCCTCACCTATAAGCTGAGGAAGGAGTTGGAGATAATTTGGAGAGAATAATGCTTATGCTTTAGTACTATATATGAATTACAGTACACAAAGTGCCCATTCCAATGATGGATGGGCACACCCATTGCCCTCAAATTTGTATGGATTCTGTATCCTAACTCATTTCTTCCCATGTGTCATACACACAGATATCAACAAAACATAAATCTTTTAGAGTATAGATAGGTATGAATACATTTCTTTTCTGGCCCAATGGTTCTCAACTGCTTACTGAATTCCAATTCATCACTACTTAAAAACCTGCAGGTTCTAGTCCCAGCCTCCCTCTTCAACCTTCTCCCTCACTCTGCCTTTAAATGAACACCATTCCTCAAGCCAACTGGACTTTTCTGGGTCCTCGATATACTGCATACACTTGAAAGTCCACATCAAATTCTGCGTTATCTCTCTGGTTTGATATTTTATTTTCAGAATATTTTATTTGTACCTCTCAGGGTACCGACATTCTGCCTGGTATTTGACTATTCATGCATAACTGACCCTTTATGCTTGTCGATTGTCACCATTTTCAAGAATGAAAGTAGGCTTTCAGTCAAGTTCTTTGTACCACTTTGCTAAGTAATGATGCACACATATTAAAAAACAAAAACTGAAAAACTAGATTTTTCCTCAAGAAAGTATTTTCATTTCCTCAATTTCTTATGAGGAAAGGGGATAGGATGGGGAGGGAAAGGTATGTGCAGGGTACTGATAAAAGCACCGCTGGCTGAATTTCCACTTGGAATTTTTCCAATAACAGCAAAAAGGCAGGGTTGAAACAGCCATCCTAGAAATTGACCAGGTAAGACTTTAAGATCTGTTGATCAATTGCAAACAACCTCTTGGGAAACCGGTTACCAATTTGCTAAGCTTGTCCATATTTTTTCTTCCCCAGAGCTATTTTTCCTAACCTTCCAGTCTCCTCTAAACCACAGTAAACAAAAGATTTTGAACATGTAGGGATACGCACACATATATTTAATCGTTAATGTATTCATTCATATCTGAGAATTTTATTGCTTGAAAATTAAGTTTCTTTCAAACAAAATCCAAGACTAGATTTTGGAGGTATAATCTTAAGGTAGCACCAAGTACAAATTCAATATGTAATAGTCAAAAAGGGGGAACCAGCAGTTAGCGTAGTGGCTATGTTGCTGGTCTCCCTCGTAGTCGACAGCGGTTCGCGTCCCGGACCCGGTGGCTTAAAACTCACGCCGGGCACGTGTGCGTGGGTGCCCAAGATCCCAAGAGGAGAATGGAGGAGAAGGGATTGCGGTGTGACCATCCCCCCCGGGGGGTGATTTCTCGCCTTCTGTCTCTCTGTCTCTCTCTCTCTGTCTGGCGAGCACACGTGCCCTATAGTGAAAACCTCTCCGCCCCCCCCCCCCCCAAAATATGTAATAGTCAAAAGGCAGCATGTATAGTCTACAACTGCAGAACTTAATGTTGGCTAACTGCAGAGGAAAAATGAAAAAAGATACAGCCACTTGGCTCAGCCCCACAACATCAGTAAGGTAAATCCCTGGGTGCTTAGCGGTATGCAAGGGCTTAAGTATTCCCAACTAAGGCCATTGAGAACAGAGATGATATGTCATTTTACTTCGATTTACTTGGTACTGGGCCAACTCCAAAGACACTCTCAAGTGCAAGAGTACCCAGGAATCAGATATACCCAAAGTCCTGTTATTCCAGAGATTAGGTATAGTTCCTATTTGAAAAGTTTGCTCCATAAAGCAAGCAAAGTACGCTTTCATTAGTCTCCATCTACATATCAAAAGAGCATACTGCTGGCACTAAAAGGCAGCTCTGGACCCAGGCTTCACTACAGAGTACCACAGAAACACAGGATAGTAGAAAGAAAAGGACCTCTTAGAAATGACCTAGCCTTTTTTTTCTTTTCTTTTTTAAGTGTCGTTTTTTTGTTTTTTGTTTTTTGTTTTTTTTTTTTTTAGTTTTCTGCTATAGGACCAGAAAGACAGAGAGAAGAGAGAGATAGAGAGACAGAAAGCGAGAAATCCCCCCCCAGGGGGGAATGGCCACACCACAATCCCTTCTCCTCCATCCTCCTCTCAGGATCTTGGACACGCACGCCCACGCACCCGGTGTGAGTTTAAGCCACTGGGTCGGGGACCCGAACCGCGGCCAACTACATGGGAATCCAGTGACATAGCCATTAAGCTAACTGCTGGTCCCTTTCTTTTTGAAGATGAAGAAAACTGATGCACACAGAGAACTCACATTAGTGCAAGGCTCCTACTAAAAGCCAAACGACTTGCAGGATCCTTGTCTCCCTCTGAATGGCACTGTCCACACACACATAAATATATATAATTTTATGTGTTTTGCCCTTCTGAAAATCCGCAGTTATAAAAAGACTCTAAGGCTTTTTTCATATCAGAGGTACACATTTATATGTAGTCAGAGGCAAAACTTATGTGGTCTACGCTGTTTTCTCACAAGGGGTTATCATGATGGTAGGCAAATGCTCTGCAGCCCCGATAGCACACGCCCTTACTGGAGTTCAACTACCTTAATGAAGAGCTACTGGGATGTACTGGAAAGATGTACTGGATGTCTGGGCTCGAATCCTGACTCTGCCACTTACTATGCGGTTTTGGCCAGGACATTTCACCACCTCCTTAGCCTTCCTTTCCTCATCAGTAAAACTGAGATCATTTGGATTTAAGGCGAAGATTGGGAAGCACGTCCGGCACAAGGTGGAGGAGCAAGTACGGGATGAACGAATGCCACAGCCGACGCCCATAAAAGGCAGGCAGTCACACGTGGCTGGGGACCCTGACGCCGGGGGCTCCAGAACTGAGGGCCCCTTGGCCCCCCTTTGGCTTCAAAGGGCCCGGAGTCCGGCCCAAATCTCAGCGCCAACCAGTGCCTGGTCCCAGGGCGCAGAGAACTCTCTCGGCCAGCAGAGGACATTGGTCTTCAAAGCCTGGCTTCGCTTCTCTCTCTGTCTTCCAGCTGCTCAGAACCGGAGCCGAGGGGGCCCCGCGGGCGCCCCCCGCCCCGCCACACGCCCCCACACCCCAGCTCGACTCCTCCACGCTCCGGGCTTTCTGGGCCTGGCGCGGCTCAGCAGCCCCAGGACACTGCCACAACGGCCCGGGCCGAACGCCACCTCCCAGGCGGCGCCAGCTCAGCCCCGCGTGGGTTGGACGGCCACGTTGCTAGGAAACTGGGGCGGGGCCTGGGAATCACCGCTTCCGCACGGGCTGCGCAGGCGCTGTGCTCGGGCCTCCGACTATCGCGAGATTCGCCTCCCGGAAGTTCCACGTCAGACTGTCGGCGGGTCGGCGGGGCGGGGGGGGGCTCCGGGCCTGCGTTGCCGGTAACAAGTGGGAACACCGGGGCTGTGATCGACGCAACCATGGTAGGTCCAGACTCCGCAGGACCATTCGTTATGACCGACTCTCGGGGATCCGGGACCGAGGACTGCAATGAGCAGCGGTCTGGGCTCCCGCGGCAACCGCCGGCCCGGCCTTGCGGGGTCCAGGTCCAGTTTGAGCCTCGGTGGGGAGGAGACAGTGGGCTTAGTAGGCCGGGATGGTTTGGGGAGACGAAATGTATAAGAGTGAGGGGTCCCGGACCTATCTGACGCTTATGGCGGTGCTCGCCAGAGTTGCTGCGGTCTGCAGCGGGGTCGGTGGTGATGGGGAATAGGAGGCCGAAAGGCTGAATTCCATAGGAGGCTTTGGCAAAAAAACTAGCTCATTCTGCCCTTAAAACTGTAACAGCTCATCGCACTCCTGTTTGGCTTGTTACTGGGACACTGTGCTTTCCACTAACTCCTAGCCCATGCAGACAAGCCCCTCCCACCAAAAGTGAAGTGTCCTTAGAGTCCAAAGTGGGCTTTTAAATGGGGTCCCAACTCCTGGGTTTCTACGGAAAAACGTAAAACAAGGTTGGGAGACTGTAACACTGGCTGTTAGACTTTTCTGAATTTGCAAGACTGTAGTTTATAAGAGTAGCATTCATGACAGCACGCTTTTATTAACACACCTTAGAGGTTGCTCCCTTAGGGAAACTGAAAGTTACAGAGAGTCTTAGGGGAATGTTTAGAGAAATGCACATTTGCACAAAATTTAGTACAGACACTTCCCCCAATCTCTTTCTCATCCAGGAATTTTCTTGGGTCCCAGGTTACAAGCCATAGAACAAGACTTCAAATCTCTCTAATTGTATCACTTTGTATTCTCTGGTTTGGGTCTGCAGCGTCTTCAGTAATAGGACATTTTTGGAAAAGGCCCTTGAAACTGCCTTATTCTATTTTGCAGTCTTTATAATTAAAATGTATTTTTATGGGACCAGCAGTTAGCGTAATGGCTAGGTCGCTGGACTCCCATGTACTTCCACTCCGCAGTTCGAGTCCTGGACCCGGTGGCTTAAACTCACAACGGGTGCATGCGTGCACAAGATCCCACGAGGAGAATGGAGGAGAAGGGATTGCCATGTGGCCATCCCTCCTGGGGGGTGATTTCTCGCTTTCTGTCTCTCTGTCTCTCTCTGTCATTCTGGTGAGTGCACACGCCCTAAAGCAAAAACCTCAAAAAAATGTATTTTTATAATGGAATATTACCTTCATTATTTAATATATGTTAAGTCTTTTGTGTAAAACACAAAATGTAAATTTATTCAAATGCTCATTTACCATAGGGTATTTACTATATGTCATGCACTTTGCTAAACATTTGCTGCCTAATTTTCACAAAAGCTGAGAGACAGGTTTACAAATCATTTTTTCTGGAGAAGTTACTGTAGAACCACTATAGTATAGTTAGAGTGCTCCGCTTACCTCTGAGTTTAATTCTTGTAGCACTAAAAGGTTGATACTAGTATTTTCCCTGTTTTTATACAAGTCAAACCTGAAAGAAATTAAGTAAATGTGTCTGCTATTGCACATCTGAAATAAATGGTGGAACCGAAATTTGAATCCATCGCGACTCTAGTCCCGTGTTTGTCGTCCTTAAACTCTCACACCCAAATATATAAAGTGTTGAGGAAATAAGGCTTGTATAAGTAATGACACTGCCAGTAAGCAGTGCCTACTCTAGAAAGCAAGAAGAGGTTAAAATGAAATCCTGGACACACCCCCAGGAAAGAGACACACCCCCAGGAAAGAGTATTTCATGCCATCGTAATCAGAAAGATCTTACTGGTGGCAGTTGCATTTTAGCTGAGTCTTAAATATATCCACCGCTTGGAAGATAAAAGGAGACATTTAGAGTTGAGATAGTATGATACTCATCTTTGTCACAGAATGCCTAGAACAATGTCTTATTCAAAGTAGTCATTTGAATGTTGGAACGAGCTTTTTTTTTTTTTTTTTTAATTGCCAGAGGACATGTGTGCTTGCCTGAATGAGAGAGACAGAACTGCCTAGTAGAGTATAGTCACGCTGCAATCCCCCTCCCTTTCTCCCTTTCAGCATTTCGCCCTCTCAGCAGGGGTTGGGACACACACACACACACACACACACACACACACACTGCTTCTCAGGCTGCTGAGGCTGGGGTTTGAACCAAAGTCAGCCATCTGGGATCTGACTCTCCCAATGCACAGCACTCAGCCACTGAGCTATGGTGTCAACACATCTTGCTTATAAACTGGGATTTGTATTTTGTGGATCTACTGGGGTTGTTCAGAGTTCCCTGACCTACTTTCTGGGGGATTAGTTTTACTTGTTACTCAATCATTTTAAGTATTTTAATAGTAAAAACTACACAGTTTATAAGTATCCAGTTTCCTCAGTTACTACAGGGAAAATGTGAGATGCTGGTGAAAACCTTCCCGTGGTAACCCTCACCACTATTCCCGGCACATAATAGACACTTCCTTTTTCCCCCACAATTTGCCAGAGGATACATGCGCTGGTGTGGGAACCCTCACCCCTATTCCCGGCATATAATAGACACTTCCTTTTTTCCCCACAATTTGCCAGAGGATACATGCGCTGGCCAGAGAGAGAGAAAGAGAGGGGAAATAAGGAAGCACCGTCCTTCAGAGAATAATCACACCACAATCCTTTTCCTCTATTTCTGACACCTTCTGGGATTTGGGGCATGCATGCACACGTGCCTAGCAGTTTTCTCAAGCCACTGGGTTCAGTACTCAAACTGTACAATTGATCATATGGAATCCAGCTGCCTTAATACCATGCCACTGGCTGACACGGTATTTCATGTTTGTTGACTCTGAATACACCAGAAAAAGGAGTAAAATTTATGATAGTAATTAGTAAGGAGAAGTTCAGAAATGGATCAAATAAAAGATCCTACTTCCCTGGACTAGCAAGAAATGTGAAGACAATGGTTTGAAGTAGAAAGTTTGAAATGGAAGATAATGATAGTGGAAATGTTTTGAGGCAGTAAAAAACACAAGCCAAAGAACCCTGATTTTTTTTTTTTTTTAAGAGAGAGATTTTTGCTGGGGAGGGGTGGTGTGCACTCACTGGAGAGACAGACAGAAAGCAAGAAATCACCCCCTAGAGGAAATGGCCACACTGTAATCCCTTCTCCTCTATTTTCCTCTCAGGATATTGGGCATGCACACACACACACATACACACACCCAGCATGGTTTTAAGCTCCCGGGTCCAGGACTCGAACCATGGTCAACTACATAGGAGTCCAGTGACGTAATCATTACGCCATCTACTGGTCCCAGGAACTCTGATTTTTAAAGTAAGAAATAAGGGTTGTTGCTAAAAGTGAGGATGCCATTATAGTAGGAAGAACAAAGTTTGAAGTAATGACCCAAATTTGATAGATACATAAAAAGATGAAGTTTTGTAAATTTTGCTTTGTCTCAGGAGATTACTTCTGTTTAATCTTCATTTTATACTGAAGTGTCATAAATAACCTCAGATTTCTGTTTGGTCATGGTCGTCATAGCAGATCACAGCATTAAGATTTAGCAGTAATGGTGTTGGCAGGTGGCATGGCGTGGTGGTTAAGGGCACTGGACTCCCACATGGCCAACCACAGTCCTGGACTGGTGGCTTGCTTTCTCACTTTCTTTCACCCACTCTCTCCTCCTCTCACTCTTGCTCTGTTCTTCGATGGTAAATTAAAATAAAGAGATAAAGTTAAATAAAAATAATTCTTTAAAAAATACATTAAAAAAAGATTTAACAGTAACAGATTGCTACATAAGCCTTTAGGTTGTATATCAATCTTTCTCAACCTGTGTCCAAGAGAGAATTAAGCCTTCTGCCCTAGGACATCATGAAATATGTCATCATGTATAATGAATTAACTTTTCTCCTAGAATTCCTTGGGAGAATTGAAAAATATTGAGTCATCGGAAAAGTCATGACATATTTTTCTCTTGCAAAAATGCATCATGACTTTTCTGATGACCCAATTAATTATTCAAGTCATTTTCTGTTTTGTGGTTCAGAAAAGGAATTTGGCTTGAAAAAGACTGATTTAAACTATTAATATTTTCTGACTCAAGAGAGTATATTAATTTTTGTTTAAAATTGTTCTAATTTCCATTAAGCTTCAGTCACTTAAGTTATTAACATAATGCCACATCTGCCCATTTGATTCTTACGGCATCATGGGCCTGCATATAACCCTTATTGATTACACATTACATTGCCTAGTATTTATTAATACTGTGAAACTATGTTTATTCAAACCTGATTATATAATGGGCATTTGCTAAAAAAAAAAAAAAGTTAATTGGTACTTGACAATGTCTGTTGCTGATGATAAAATAAGAGCTGTCAAGTGGATATTAGATAGAAATTTAGAAAACTTACATCACTGCTCTTAACAGATTTTTAACTCTTAAAGACAATCTGTTGAGGTAGGTAGTTCTATTAATGAATATGATTTTTTTTTTCACACAATATAATGTGTCAATATTTGGAAGATTTGCATGACTCAGTGAAACAACATTTTTCTGAAAGAAATGCCTGGTGTTATAAAATCATGCATGTGTGAAAGATCCATTCAAAGCACAGAATAAGCCAATGATTTTAATGTGACAGAGATCATTCATTCGGTTTCAGATTCTACATTGCAAGTAACCTTTGAGAAACTACCCCTTGGGGCCAGCAGGTGGTGTGATAGTTAAGGTACAGGATTGCCCCATGGCCAGCAAAGGTTTGAGTCTCAGACCTTGAAAATCATGCCAGGCGCATATGTGTGTGTGCCCAAAACCCCAGAAGAGATTTCAGCATGGCCATCCACCTGGGAGGTGATTTCTCACTTTCCCTCTCATTGTCTCTCTCTCTGTCTTTCTCCAGAGAGTGTATGTATCCTATAGCAAAAACCTTTAAAAAGAGAGAGAGAGAGAGAGAAAGAGAGAGAGAAATTCCTCTCTATTAAATAAGACTTTAAAGACTTTTTCAAAAATGTAAAGTATTGCCACTTTTCTTACTAAATTTCTTTTAAAGACCCTCTCCTGCCATTTTTTTTTTTTTAAAGAAGTTTTTCTGCCTTAAGGCTGTGCACTCACTGGAGGGAGACAGACAGGCACAGAGAGAAAGTGAGAAATCACCCTCCAGGAGGGTTGGCCATGCCACAATCCCTCTTCCTCCATTCTCCTCCCAGAGAATGGGAGGACACACGCGTGTGCCTGGCATGATTTTGAAGGTAACAGGTCTGGGACTCAAACTGTGGTTGGCCATGTGGGAGTCCAGCAGTGTAACCACTAGGCCATCTGCTGGTCTCCGTTCCCCCCTTTTTTTAATTGCCAAAGAATGTGCCTGTTTGCCAGAAAGATGAGATGAGGGGGCAGCACCTCCTAGTAGGATGTGGTCATGCCTTCTCCATTTCTTCATTCTTTCAGTATGTTGAACTTGCTCAACATACTGGGGCCTGGTGTGTTTCAAGTCACCTGGGCTGGGAGTCTAACCATGGTAGGCCATGTGGGATCTAGCTCCCTTAACCACTAGGCTATGGGGGCTAGCCTAATCATTATTACTATTTTTTTTTTTATCATATCCTAACATGTACTCAGTTTATTTTTTTCTTGAAAATGAATTACTACATATAGTAGCAGTATCTCAGTTTTAATTTCTATACACAAAATTTTTAAAGATGAGGAGAAAGAGAAAGATAAAATACCCCCCCCCTCCATGGGGCCTGGTCATATTATTACCCTTTATCCTCCAATTCTTCATCCTATCAGGATCCTAGGCACACATGCACGCATGGTGTGTACGCAGCCAGTGCGGAGACTTGAACCCACGTGGGATCCGGCTTTCTCTGCAGTTTTTAACTGCTGCACTATGGGGCCAGCTCTCAGTTTTAATTTTTAACATGGTAAAATGTCAGTAAATAAAGCTCTCATTAGTAAAAGCTCTTTGATATCCTCAAAAATTTTTAAGAGTTTGGTGAGGTCCTTAGACCAGGAAGTTTGAGAACCTCTATAAATTTTAAATTTTTTAATAGTCTCATGTTTTTATTTTTAGGTTCTTCCCATAGGTCACATGAGCTCACTGGAGAGAAACAGAGAGAAACTAAGTGAGAAACCACCACCCAGGAGGGATGGTTACACCGCATTCCCTTCTTCATTCTCCTCCTGGGATTTTGGGCATGCGTGCACACACGCCCACATGATTTTCAGGACTAGTCCCAGGACTCAAACTTTGGTCAACCATGTGGGAGTCTGGTTTCTTAACCATTACACCATGTGTTGCCCCCATACTTCTGTTTCGTGTGTGTGAATGAAATGGATGCATTGGACTTGAAACTGTGTTTGTAATTTAGAAAAGTAACTGAATTGTTTTGTAGGCTTGATAATGCACTGTTTTTAGTTAAGATCTCTAATACATCTTACTTGGCTCAGCAAGTTAATGTGTTTTTATGTTCTTTTCCTTAGCCTTTGCGACTTGATATCAAGAGAAAGCTAACCGCTCGGTCTGATCGAGTTAAGAGTGTGGATTTGCATCCTACAGAGCCATGGATGTTGGCAAGTCTTTACAATGGCAGTGTTTGTGTTTGGAATCATGAAACACAGGTAGGAATTTTTAAGGACCTTATCAGAAATAATATATTGGGTTAAACTGTTTATAGTAAAAGAGAATAAATATAACAGTCCATTAACTATGTGCAATTTTTTCTTTTTAAATATTTTAGGATTTGAAGCTTATCTGCTAATGAAATTATACATTCAAGCCTTTTACTCATGCCAAGCCTTAGTTTACTTATCTAAAATGAAGATGATATTTTTGCTCTCCCTACATAATAAGATTATCAGAAGAATCAGATAATATTAAATAAAATTGGATAAGAGGACCTGTATGATACAGTATTACTCATTTTTTCCCTAGCTTACTCTGTAACTGTTCCTCATCTTCATATCGTTTGACTCCGAGAATGTTGGAGACCCTTTCGTATGCTGTTTGATTCAGCCACGGCACTAAACATGGTGCTGAGTCATGACTTTTTCCCTGCAGCCACTTTAGTTCTACTGAACTTTTATTTTCCTGCCTTCTTGTAGATTGCATGTCTGCCTGTCTCTGTGTCAGTGTCAGGGTTGACTAGTCGTGGTCGCAGAGGTGGGGCTGACATCCTCTTCCTTCAGTCTTTGAGGAATCTTTGAGGTTCGGCCTGGGAAGCTGGAGTAGGCAAATATGCCAGGTGCATATGTGTACATGCCCCAAATCCTGAGAGGAGAATGGAAGAGAAGGAACCGCAGTATGGCCATCCCCCAATGGGGCACGGGTGGGGGGAGATGCCTTCCTTTCTTTCTTTCATCAGCCCCCACCCCAGCAAGCACAGGGGCCTATAGCACCCTCCCCCCAAAATAGAGGTCGTATTGTATTCCATTGTTATTTTATTATTTCTCTCTGCTATGAAAAAAAGGAGGAGGATTGGAAAATAATGGTTTGATTTTCAGAATTTTAAAGAAAGAGCATCAGAGTGGGAGGCCCAGGAAGCGCATTCATCTCTCTTTCTGAGGGTCTCCTAGTTTTCTGCATTTACTAACTAGAAATTTTGCTCTGAGCAGCTTGTCGGGTCTTAGAAATGTGTTTTCATATCTCACTAAAAACAAAAATACCATTTGTGTCAGAATGCATTGCTAAAGTGTGCAAAAGAATTATATTTGTTTATGAGTTCCTTCTGTGGTTCTTAATTTAAAAAGAAGAAACTAAGAGCTAAATCATTCAGTAAGTACTTATCACACTAGTTGTGCACTGCCACCGTTCTCGGCCTTCGGTGTATAGCAGTAAACAAGACTGCTGTGGGAGAGCTTAGCGGGAGAGATTGACCGTAAACATGTAATTATGAGGTGCTGCGTTATGAAAGGGGAGCACAGGTTTCCATAGGTGGGTTTCCAGGCAGAGGGAACTGGAATGGAGGGAGATGGGGAAGAGCCAAGGTGAAGCAGGAGAAGGAAGGGAAGGGAAGAGCACACAAGATCTAGAAGGCCATTTTGTGGACATTTTCTTTCTCTTCTCTTTTTTTTTTTTTTTTAAAGAGAGAGATCTTTGCTATAGGGCACATGTACTCCCCTGAGAGACAGAAAGAGAAATCACTTGTCCATCCCCTTTCCCCCCCAAGATGGCCATGCCAGTCCCTTCTCCTCACAGGATTTTGGGCATATGCACACATGTGCCTGGCATAAGTTTAAGCCGCCAGGTCCAGGACTCCAACCGCGGTCAACTATATGGGAGTTCAGCAACGTAATGATCACACCATCTGCTGGTCCCAGTTTCTCTCTTATGTTCTAAAGCCTTTTAATTTTGAATCTATTAAAAGAAAGAGTATTAATCTGTTCTGTTCACTTGAATGTTGAGCCTTTATATTTTATCCTAAGAATAGTTTAAAATTAGAAGTGATCTAAATTGTTGAGTATTTTAAATATAGCAGAACAGATTTTTAAAGTTTTTCTCTCATAACTCAATGTGTGTATTCTTGATGCATTTTAAAGACCTTGGTGAAGACATTTGAAGTGTGTGATCTTCCTGTTCGAGCTGCAAAATTTGTCGCAAGGAAGAATTGGGTTGTGACAGGAGCAGTAAGTAATTATATGAATCTCTAATCCGATTTTCTGAATTAGTCAATGATTATGTAAATTAGTTGCATAATTTCGACTCCTGGTTTGTTAATTAGTGTAATGTTTCGAAGCACAGACTTCATTCCTTGAGTTTGTAGTATAGTTTTTTGTGCAGTTTACTTCCTAACGGTGATGATGCTTTTTAAATTTCCATTTCTAGGATGACATGCAGATTAGAGTGTTCAATTACAACACTCTGGAACGAGTTCATATGTTTGAAGCACACTCAGACTACATTCGCTGTATTGCTGTTCATCCAACCCAGCCTTTCATCCTAACTAGCAGTGGTAAGGGATGACCTTTTTAGGTCATATGCATCTGTTTGGGTAATTCATTTTCATTCAGTGAGACATGCTGTTCTTTAACTGCTATTACAAATAGAGTTCTAATTCCAAGCAGCTGTTAAACTACTTAAATCCATTACTGTACTATTGATGCTGCTTGCTTTGTGTTTTAATGAAATATCAACTGTACTTACGATTTGTATAGTAATTGCTCTGACTCCTGTCAGGGAAGACCTGAAGGTCTAGATGTTTAAATATCTGCTGAACAGAAAGCTCATTTACATGCTGATGAGTGAGGTTTGGCAGCTTGCCACAGACTCTAGTCACTTTATCTTTATATTCAGACTAGTTTGCTCTTTTGTATTTTGTGTAAGACAGTGGGCCTTTGGGGAGGGCAGTTAAAAGGAGGAGCATTCAATTAATAATAGCTCTTCAAAATGTTTTTAAATTAAAAATTGAAAAATAATTCAACGAATCTTGTATTAAGAGCAGATGCTGGGCTAGCTGGTGGCCAGGTGATTGGGACAATTGGATCCCACATGGCTGACTATGATGTTCAAGTCCCGAACTCAGCGGCATGAAAAACACGCTGGGCACGTCTGTGTGCGCGTGCGCATGCACGCATGCATGAACCCAAACTCCTTAGAGGAGAAATGGAAGAGAAGGGATTGCTACAAGGCCATCCCCCTGGGGGTACTTTCTATTTTCTCACTTTCTCTTGCAGTCTTTACAAGCACACACATCTATAGCATATTAAAAGCAAACACACACTTGCTTTCTAAATAGTCATGGCTGTCCTTATTCAGTCATATTTAGACTCTAATAAGACATTTATCAATCTTTTGTCATTTTTTTAAAGCCCACTAAGTTTTCCTTAAAATTTCTCCCAAAATTTTTATAGTTGTTACTGGTGATCTATATTTACTATGATTAACTTATCCTCTGAGATGTTGGAATAGTTAGGAAGAAACTATGTGTCATTTCTCTCCCTTGTACTTGTTATTAATAATCTTAATGTTTTATTCGTTTCTCTCACCCTTCTCTAGAGTTAAGTTAATCTTAGAAATAAGTAAGCATTTTGAAAAATTTAATCATTTTTAATTGTTTCTTTAAGTCATAGAATGTATGATTTGTATTAGGTTTTCTGTCTTCTGAAATAAAAAAAAAAAAAAGTAGAAATTGCAACTAACTTGAGATTTCCTTTTGGCCTAGATGACATGCTTATTAAGCTGTGGGATTGGGAAAAAAAATGGTCTTGCTCACAAGTGTTTGAAGGACACACCCACTATGTTATGCAGATTGTGATCAACCCCAAAGATAACAATCAGTTTGCCAGTGCGTCTTTGGACAGGACCATCAAGGTAGAGTATCCATTCTTTGTGTCTGTTTTTCTTGTTAGTGAAATAATAGTTGTTTTAGATATTTTACTACTAGCTGGCCAGAAAGTTACTCATATCTTAAAGTTAAAGGAGGACTTTTCATTTTGATCCAAAAAGGCATGTTTTATGTAGAAAAATACTGTGGTAACTTGATGTTTCTTAATGAAGGAGTGCTCTTCTGTGTGGAGACATGTCAAATTTTTTTAGCTTCTGGAAGTCCAGACTAAGAAAAGTGCCTGTATCTTTTCTAAGTGACTACTTTCTCTCTCTTTCATTGTATTTGTAGTTGACCCCTGCTCATTATAAATCTAATTTACAATTTAAAGGCCAACTGCCTCTTGCCTTTCTTATTCCATAGCCTTATAGTGCTGCCAGTTATAAAGTATTAATTTCTGTCTTGCCAGTTCCAAATCTCAGGATAAAGTCCGAATGCCTTAGTGTCTAATATGAAGGTTTATAAGACTAGCCTGGGTTAATCCGAGACATCTTCTGTAACCCAGGCCTACTCACCATCCTCGAGAGATGCCGTGAATGTTCAGGGAACCATTTTTTATTCAGCTGTTCCCTCTGCTTACAGTTCTCTGTATTTTTCCCTTTGTGATTTATTTTCCTCTGGAGGTTTAGTAGAAATATTTTCTTGAAGTTCTCGTCAGACATTCACTTTATCTCTAGATAGAGCCAGTTGTGCTCAACATCCCGTGCCCTCCGCTGCTTTTTGTCTCTATTACAGCCTTTCTCACATTGAATCGTAATTAATGTGCTTTGGAAATCTTACCCCTGAAATGTTGGACATTTGGGACAGGAACTGATTGTCACCCCCTGCCCTTACATTCAGTAACAGGCAGTGCCTTGCCTGTGCCGGATGTCTAATGTATGCTGCAGTGAATGTAGTCTGTCTTTTATTTTTTCCTATCATAATACTTAAAATGTCTATGAGCATAGGTTAAAAAAAATCACATTAACTTTGTTTACATGTTTGATTACATTTATGTAACATTTTTTATTAGTTTTTCTTTGGCTTATGTAAGCATATCTGAATGTTTTAGGGTTTTGACCTTTTTTTCTTTCATTGGTTTGTCCTTGCTTTTGACGTAGGTTGGAAACTTTGAGTCATTTTAAGCTTTCTTCACTAAATTGGGTTTACCTTGAGAACAAGAATCATCTTTGACTCTAGTAAGGTTTATTGTATATAATTAGTGGTAAACATTTGTTTACACACCTTTATATTCTCCACAAGCCTTCTAGGGTAGGCAGTCAGTAAATATTTATAAAGATAAAGTGCTCTTGTTTGCAGTGGTTATTTCTGACTACTTTTCTATTAAAAGTTTTTTAATTCATTAGTAATTGTCTCCTTTTAATACATCACACTAAATTCATTTTTGTTATCTTTATATGAAGAATCTCAAATAGAATCCTTCTTACCCTTAAAGTAGCATTTCTCAAAGTGTTAAACATTTAGATTTTTGGACTTAATTGTAGATTGACTGAATCATAAACTCTAGGGGCAAAGCTTAGAAATTGGCATTTTCAGAGAATACTGTACTGGTGGTCCTGGTCCCTGGAAATTCAGGAAGACTGAGAAATAACAAAAGCAAACAGGTGAAAAGAATGAATGCTCCTTAGCTTTTCTCCCTTGGGGGTTGGCATTTTATGTCTCAGAGGTGTGTGTGTCTGACTTCTGAAAAGCCAGTCCCCGTATTGACTGGCAGATGCTGTTGCTTTCTGAAGGTGTGGCAGCTGGGCTCTTCATCACCCAACTTCACTCTGGAGGGACACGAGAAAGGTGTGAACTGCCTCGATTACTACAGTGGTGGCGACAAGCCATACCTCATCTCAGGTGCAGATGACCGTCTTGTTAAAATATGGGATTACCAGGTACAGCTTTCAGTCTATTGCCATGTGTCAGATGTTTCTTAACTGATGATTACGGACAGTTGAAGCAGGAGCAGTTGGACTCTCCTCAAAGTTTAATAACTTAGAGACCAACAGTTGGCATAATGGCTATGTCGCTGGACTCTCATGTGGTTGACCATGTTTCGAGTCCTGGACCCAGTGGCTTAAACTTATGCCGGGCACATGTGCATGTGTGCCAAAGATCCCGAAAGGAGAATGAAGGAGAAGGGATTCCAGCATGGCCATCCCCTCTGGGGGGTGATTCCTTGCTTTCTATCTCTCTGTCTTTCTGCCAAGCACATGCACTTTATAGGAAAAAACCTCTCCCCCACCCCCCAAAAAAGGCTTAATAATTTAAAGCTTTAGTCTCTGTACCTAAATAATAGACTCAGGATTTCCCATAAAAATGAGATTTAAAAATAAAATGCCAGCATATTTTCATTTAATATTAGAAATTTAACACTTTAGTGTTAACTTATACATCCTTCAGTGTCCCTATTGGCAAACTAACATTTGTATTTGAAAACTAGCAGATCAATGAATAATGTAATGAAATACCATGTTGCAACCATTTTGGCATAATTTTCAGGGGTTTTTTTGTTTGTTTGTTTCTCACATTAGAAGTTTCGCTGGACTCTCATGTGGTTGACCATGTTTCGAGTCCTGGACCCAGTGGCTTAAACTTATGCCGGGCACATGTGCATGTGTGCCAAAGATCCCGAAAGGAGAATGAAGGAGAAGGGATTCCAGCATGGCCATCCCCTCTGGGGGGTGATTCCTTGCTTTCTATCTCTCTGTCTTTCTGCCAAGCACATGCACTTTATAGGAAAAAACCTCTCCCCCACCCCCCAAAAAAGGCTTAATAATTTAAAGCTTTAGTCTCTGTACCTAAATAATAGACTCAGGATTTCCCATAAAAATGAGATTTAAAAATAAAATGCCAGCATATTTTCATTTAATATTAGAAATTTAACACTTTAGTGTTAACTTATACATCCTTCAGTGTCCCTATTGGCAAACTAACATTTGTATTTGAAAACTAGCAGATCAATGAATAATGTAATGAAATACCATGTTGCAACCATTTTGGCATAATTTTCAGGGGTTTTTTTGTTTGTTTGTTTCTCACATTAGAAGTTTCCATACACAGTTAATAAAATGACAACTAGGAAACCAATTTTACTTTGAAACTTTTTCAAATTTGCGCTTAAATCCAGATTAAAAATCTTAAAGGCTAATAAGCCAGCACTGTCTGCTTAGTACACAGATGAGAGGTGTGGGTTTCAGGGAGAAGGTATTTGGGAGAATAATATTCCGCTGGAAACTTAGGTCCTTTGGTATTTTTTTCCTTCTTTAAATATAATAGTTACATTTACCTGTCACAGGAATTAATTAGAAAAGATGCTCATCTGTATATAAGATAGTTCTATTTCAGAAATTCTGTATTATATACTGTTTAGATTGTCATAATCGTCATTGATAATGTACTTGTGTGTTGAGAAAATTAAGGGTGAATTGGTCTTCACTAATAATGTTTTCTCTATTTCGATCACAGAATAAAACGTGTGTACAGACACTAGAGGGACATGCCCAGAACGTGTCTTGTGCCAGTTTTCATCCCGAGCTGCCCATCATCATCACAGGGTCAGAAGATGGTAAGTTAAAAGTGTGTTTTCATTCCTATGCTTCTAATTAATTAGTGGATATTTAAACTAGGTAGTCTGCAGTGTAACTGGAGGGTTCCAAGGATTTTGAATTTTTTTTTTTTTTAAGAGACTTTTGCTATAGGGCGCATGCGCTCACTGGAGAGAGAGAGAGGGAGAGGGAGAGAGAGAGAGAGAAAGCAAGAAATCAGCCCCAGGTGGGATGGCCATGCTTCTATCCCTTCTCCTCTTGGGACCCTGGGCATGCACACAGATGCGCCCAGCATGAGTTTCAAGCCTCCGGGTATGGGATTCAAACCACAGTCAGCCATGTGGAAGTCCAGCAAAGTAACCATTACACCATCTGCTGATCCCAGATTTTGATACCCTTCTTGGAATACTAGACTTAAGCTGAAAAGAGTGAAGAGGCATTATTATCACCACCACCGTCATCAATCTATTGTGCCTTGATTCTGTCACTTAAATGAGAAGACACTCAGATGCCCTAGGGGAAAATATAAAAAGCATGTGCTTCAGAGTCAAACCTGGGTTCGGATTCAGATGCTGAAATTCATGAATTCATGGTTTGGGCAAATTCGAAATGGAAACACTCATATCCACTTCATAGGGTTGTAGTGAAACGTGAGAAGTCGCGTAGGAAGCACATAGTAAGCACTGCCTTGGGAATCCTGTTACTATTTCACACTCAAAATCACATTTTTTTTAGTTTTAGTTTCATATAAATTTTTTTTGTTTATATTGTTTTTTAAAATCATTAAAAGACTATAGATCAGACATTGGTCATTAATCTGCCAGGGAGTGTTTTCTATTTGAATAGAAAGTCTTCCATGTGGCTCATTCACCTGACACAGTTTATCATTGGATTTTCATAATAAAAGGGAATTTCACGTCATTCTTTTTAGGAACAGTGCGTATATGGCATTCAAGCACCTACCGGCTTGAGAGCACGCTGAACTATGGGATGGAGAGGGTGTGGTGCGTGGCCAGTCTACGAGGGTCCAACAATGTCGCTTTGGGCTATGATGAAGGGAGCATCATTGTTAAGGTAAGTGTACTGTCTCTAAACAGATGAACATAGGCGAAGTGATTTCTTTGTGCTTTAGTACTGTTGTCTTCCAAGTTAAACTGGGACTTCTTTCAGCATAGGGTTTAAGCAATAGCGATTTAAAGCAGAAGAGAGGAAATCAATCTCTCTGTTAAGTGATAAAAGTGTCTGTTTTGGCATGGTTTTATTTGTTTTCCTTTCATTGCTAAGAGCCATTTGTCATTCTTCCAGCTTGGTCGGGAGGAACCTGCCATGTCCATGGATGCCAATGGAAAGATTATTTGGGCTAAGCACTCAGAAATCCAGCAGGCCAACCTAAAAGCAATGGGAGATGCTGAAATTAAAGATGGAGAAAGACTGCCCCTGGCAGTAAAGGATATGGGCAGTTGTGAAATATACCCTCAGACTATTCAGCACAACCCTAATGGACGGTGAGCCATCACCAAAGTCTCTCTTGTAGTTTCTGTGTATGTTAGAGCAGGGTTTGCGTATCCTCAGTCTATTTTCCTGGTACCCTGTGGTAAGCATCGCCAATCAGTCCTCATCGGGCTATACGCCATGTGCCAGTGAATTGAGTTGGCATCATGCCAGCAAGGTAGACCATGTTTACTTTACCCTCCTGGCCTCGTTCCATCCCACTCTGGTTTGAGCAGTTTCATAGTATTGTGTTTATTCTTATTATACATACATGGGGTTGTGATCTCGTGTGCTCCTTTTGGGGATCCTGTATTATCCTGAGGCTTAGTTAATATTGTTGAATCAGTAACTTTTTTGAATTAATTCTTTTGAAGAAAAGATGACTCTGAGGTATATGTGTTTGAAAAACTTGGCAGATCGTAATTGTTTTGCTTCTTATTCGTAGTGTAGTATTTTTGTTTGTTTCTTTTTTTTTTTTTCTTTGCCATGGGGCACATACACTGGCCAGAGAGAGAGAAACGGAGGGGGAAGGTAAGAAATTACCCCCTAGGGAGGATGGCCATGCTGCAGTTCTTCTCCGTTTTCCTCTTAGGATTTTGGCCAAACATACACATGCACCCATACCCACCAGGTCTGGTACTCAAACTGCACTTTGCCATGTGGGAATCCAGAGCCTTAACCACCATGCCACCTGCTGGTCCCATAAAGCACCTAATATCTTATAAGAAAGGAGTTTCTAGCACAGTGTGGATAAACTGTAGAGCTTAAAAAATTATTTTACAGTAGGTCTAGTTCTCTCATAGTGAATGTTAAAAAATAAAGTTACAAACCAAGGATGTCACCTAGTTCAGTAAATGGTATCCATAATTTGTAGTATATTGTAGTATAATGTTGAAGGTTTAAGACTGCATTGTTTACATTTCCCTTAATGTCATACAACACTTGCTGCTGTAAATTTTGCATTTTACCTTTGGGTCCTCTGATAGTAGTCATTACAGTATTCTAAATGATGTCTTTAAAGAGAGTTATTTTACGCCTTGGGAATTTTTTATTTTACTGCCACATTCTATTTTTACTCATTATTTAAATGTTAAAATACCCTATTTAGTTCAGTACATTTGTCCATCATTAAAAACTGGAGTAAGATATTTTTATTCAGTAGAGTGAACAGCCTTAAAATGATTAGTCTTACAATAGGATAGTGTCTTATGGTATAAAGTGATGAGCAAAGTGCTCAGCAAACACTAGTTGAATAGTTAAGTCATCCCCCTCACATCTGCGCCTCTCTCACCATCCTGCCCCCAGTCTCCTTCGTTTATAAGAGAAGACTACTGCAGTAGCATTTTTAGTAATAGCCCCATATTTATAAATTGCTTTTGAATGTTGGTTAGAATATTTTTGCATAGCTCTATATCCAAAGAGTTGTGTAACTTTAAAAGATTGTCGTCATTGTCAGAAATAGTATTTGATATTAGAATTATGTTACCATAAAGTTGAAGTTTTGTTTCATAACTTGTATATGTCATCATTCCTCCATACCTCCCTCCCTGGCCTCTGTAACTGCAGGTTTGTTGTGGTGTGCGGTGATGGGGAGTATATCATCTACACAGCAATGGCACTGAGAAACAAGAGCTTCGGGTCTGCCCAGGAGTTTGCATGGGCCCACGATTCTTCAGAGTAAGTCTTGGCTATGTGGTATCCAGACTATCTGATTCCAAATGGATGTTGTGTGTCACTGTATAAAAGAGGTCGTCAAGGCTAGGTATGGGTCATGCTTTTCTGTGTTGTGTGTTACCGTTTAAGAGAGGTCGTCAAGGCTAGGTATGGGTCGTGCTTTTCTGCGTGTTGCTCTACCGTTTAAGAGAGGTCGTCAAGGCTAGGTATGGGTCTTGCTTCTCCGTGTTGTGTGTTACCGTTTAAGAGAGGTCGTCAAGGCTAGGTATGGGTCTTGCTTCTCCGTGTTGTGTGTCACTGTATAAGAGAGGTCGTCAAGGCTAGGTATGGGTCTTGCTTCTCCGTGTTGTGTGTCACTGCATAAGAGAGGTCGTCAAGGCTAGGTATGGGTCGTGCTTTTCTGTGTTGTGTGTTACCGTTTAAGAGAGGTCGTCAAGGCTAGGTATGGGTCTTGCTTCTCCGTGCTGTAAAATAGTTCTTACCAGAGCTGCCTGTTGGCAGATGAGAGTCAGAGGAGGCTGTGTCGTGGGAGCTGCCTCTGCCCCTTCTATGCAGTGCTGCGTGGCTCACTCAGCTGATCGAATATCCCATTGACCTGGGTACCCTGGACCTGTTCCCTTGATGCTGTCAGTGGCAGGACCTGGGGTTTGTGGGTCCTCCCTGCGAAGTGACACCCTAAGGCACTGCTGCCCCACACAGGCGGAATTGTTGAAAGCAAGTGCTGTGGTTGATGTCATCTTGATGAGAATTTTAATGAGTCTTTAAAAACTTGTATTCTGTGATATTACTCACTTTCCATTCCATTTTTGTTCATTCGTTTGTTTTTATTGCCAGAGGGCATGTGGACTCATCAGAAAGAGACGGTGTGAGAGAAAGCAACCCTCAATGGGCATGATCACAGCAGTCCTTTTCCCTCCGTTTCCCTATGCTTTCAGGATTTTGGGGACATGCATGCATACACTCCCAGCATGTTTTTCAAACTGCTAGAGGTTGGGCTTTGACCCACAGTCAGCCATGCGAGATGATCCAGACTGACAGTGCACAGTGGTTAACCACTGAGCTATGGGGCTGTCCCCACACCTCCTATTCTTAACAGATTTCTCTCAGAATTCAGAATGTTCATAAAGTATCCTCATTAGGGGTCAGCAGGTAACTTGGTGGTTAAGGCACTACACTTCCACGTGGCTGACCATAGTTCTAACCCTGAACCTTGGTGGTCTGAAACTCCACACCAGGCACATATGTGTGCATGCCGAAAATCCTGAGAAGAGAATGGAGGAGGAGGGGTTGTAGCATGACCTTCCCCACTGAGGGATGAGTTCTCACTTTCCCTCTCATTGTCTCTCTCTCTGGCAAGCGAATGTACCATATGGCAAACACCTAAAAAACAAACAAATATATTTTTATTAAAATCAAGAAAACCATTTAACTCTCAATTGTTGTAGTTAATCACTGACTCTGGGTCCTCTTTCATTCCTGTTTGTGCTTGTAAGAAACCTTATAACCTTGGGGATCTCAGACCACACAACTCAATTACAGTTTTATAATTTTCATAGTTTTATTTGTCTCATATTTTACATTACTTTTTGCTCCCAGCAGTGGGGTAACTTGAGCCTAGGCATTGCATAGTAAGATGCATTTTTAAAAAGACTTCGAAAAATTGTTTTGATCTTTTCATGAATTTCCTAAATAAACTCGTACATGCACAATTCTGTGTACTGTTGGGTTGTTGGAAAAGCCACGATGCATTTCTGCATGGAAAATCAGAAAAATACGTCATGACTTTCCTGATGACCCAGTAAAAAGTGCTTTTGCTGTCATCTTAAGTGCAGTGATAGTTCATGACTCGCCTCACTTCTCTCACATACACCCCCTCTACGTTGGTAGCTCCCTTTTTTCGGCTTTGTCCTGCCACGACACTGCTCAGCATCTCCTGTCCCGTGCAGACACTCATCAGAGCACCTCCTCACAGCCTGACTGTCCGACGCAGGCCACAGCCCCTCTATTCAAGGCGGAGGCCGAATAGGAGCAGTTCCTCAGCTGCTGCAAACCCGCCAGTAGATTAACGAGCAACTTGTTATGGTTTCCTTTATTTTAAAAATCACTTTATTGAGGTATGATTTATACAAAACAGAATCCACAGTTTTTCAATCCACTTTTTTCCTATAATTTGCCAGAGGACATGTGTGCTCCCTGAAGAGAGACAAAGAGGGAGAGAGCAAAAGCACCCCGCAAAGGGAATGGTCATGCCTCAATCCTTTCTCTTGCATTTCTCCATCCTGTCAGGATTTGGGGCATGCACGCACATGTGCTCGGCCTGTTTTCAAGCCACCAGGTTCAGGATTCAAGCCAGGTGATCAGCCATGTAGGATCCAGCCCCCTTAACCATCAGGTCATTGGCTGTCTCCATAATGCACCGTCTTAAGTGTACATTTCAGTGGATTTGGACAAATGTATGTAATCTGTAACCAACAGTGAAAATTATAAACATTTCTATCATCCCTCCAAATCCCTTTGTTTCTTCTAACAGTCAGTTCACCCACTCCACAGTCCCAGGGAAACACTGATCTGTTATTTTGTCACTACATAGATGAGATCTGTCTTTTTTAGGCTTTTATCTAAATGGAGTCATATGGGATGCACTCTTGTGTCTGGCTTCTTTTGCTCAGCACAGTGCTTTTGGGATTCATCGCTGCCGTGTCCAGGATGAGTCATTGGTTCTATGATGTGCAACGTAATACTCTAAGGTGTGAGTGTACCCAGTGTGTTCGATCACTCGCCTGTCGATGAACACTTGGGTCATTTCCAGTTTCTGAATGGTTTGTAAGCCCCTGTAATTTGTGTAATACACAATATGAAGTCCACTATAAGGAGCTCACTGATCTCTTAGGAAGAGTCTTAGATAGTCGTCAGTGATTCTTAGGATAGTCATTTTATATATTTTTTTTATTTTTTTTATTAATTCACTTTACACCATCACAACACACAAATGAATTTTCCATCTAAAATACACTGTGCATTGGTTCAATCAAGCACATCCACATACATGTTCTCAGCAAATAATTTTCCAGTTCTTACATCCTGCATACCTTGCCCTTTGTCTTGCCATCCCTGATTCCCCATCCCCCACCCTCTGCTATGTCCCATCTTCCTCCCCCATTGTCCCTGGCATCCATGGTTGCCCTCCATGCCTTCCTCCCCCCTCCCCATTCAATTGTTCTGCCAATGAACTTAATTAGTCTAAATAAATCGTCATTTTATATTTTTGCACAATTAATTACTAAACTATTTGAAGCTATTTCTAGTATTTGGTGGAAATGTGGTTTAGTATATAACATAATATGTTTGCCTTCCTTTTTTCCCCCCAGATACGCAATAAGAGGCAGCAACAGTGTTGTAAAGATATTTAAGAATTTTAAGGAGAAAAAATCATTTAAACCTGACTTTGGAGCTGAAAGTGAGTGCTGCTTATATATGCTATATTTTTAGAAGCTTTATAATGGCTCAAAATTATAGGCAACCCTCTGTGTGTGTGTGTTTTTAAGGTATCTATGGAGGCTTCTTATTGGGAGTCAGATCTGTAAATGGCTTGGCCTTCTATGACTGGGACAATACGGAACTCATCCGCAGAATTGAAATTCAGCCCAAACACGTGAGTTTTCCCTCCGTTGTTGTTTTTGGAACTTCATGTTTGTGATGTTCAGCATCTATCACAATCCATCCTGAGGCCAAGAAGTGGCCTTGCACCCTGCTGTTCCCGTCCCAAATTGGACCAGTCCCTTTTACCTCAGGGCTGCTCAGAACATTGGCACCATGGTATTTGATAGAGGTGGTAGACGTTAGACATTCTGAAAATATAAACAGTTATACAAATTCCAAGTGCTACTAGTGTTTTAAGTGGCTTTTGATAGAGTTCAGAAACATGCATTGAAGACAAGTCAGAGTTCTTTACTTGGAAAGGCCTGAGAAGCTCCTTCCCACTTCCGAAAGTCTTTTCAGACTTTACCTGATAGTTGTTAAAACTTCAGATGATTCTCTCCAGTGACAACGTATTCTAGGCTTTGAACTGTCCACTGTTTTGACGCATTCCCTGTCGTAAAATACCCGTGAAGACAAACCAGTCTCCCTGGGGTTCAAGCTCTGCACTCCCAGCAGGGGCTGTAGTTCCCCTAAGGGGCAAAAATTGGTTCCGACAAGGGGGGGGGGTTTGAAAAAATCTTAGATTTTTTTATGTATAAGAATTGATACAGGTATGTATGTTATGTACATGTTTATATATGTATGTATAAACAGATATGCAGTGTTTCTGTAATATTAACATCTCACTGGGAGGCAGTTAGGAAAACAGTGTCTCAGTATCTGGGAACAGAGGGTGGAAATGAAAGGAAGGATGAGCAACGCCGTCCTGGAGCGGAGCGGTAGGGAATAGACTGCTGCTCCCCTGAGTTATGGCCCATGCAGTGTTTCCTGACCGCTTTCCTTCCCGTCTCCCTTTGGTCTTTCTGCTTCTAGGCTAGATAGTTATTTCTAGGCTGGGTAGCCGCTCTGTTCTGTAGAAGGGTTCCGGGTCCCAGAGACTCCCTGCATCTACCATGTGCACGTGACACAGGGTTGACCGAGGTCTCGGGTACTAGAGTCCTCTTTGGGGTGCTTTCTCTCTGTCTCTCACTCTCTCTGCTTCTCAATTATAGGGAAAGTGAATAAACTTTAAAAAATACACTACATAAAATTAAGTGCATATTTATTATCTTAATATTAGAATATAAATATTATTAAAAATAGAATATAACCAGTGTGTTGTGTCTACTCAGAAATCTAAATTAATTATCTGTGTTTTTGTCGTTTGCAGATTTTCTGGTCGGACTCTGGAGAGCTCGTCTGTATTGCCACCGAGGAATCATTTTTTATCCTTAAGTATCTGTCGGAGAAAGTCTTGGCCGCGCAGGAAACACATGAGGGAGTTACCGAAGATGGCATTGAAGATGCCTTTGAGGTAATCGCATCATTGCAACTTAAGCTTCATTTTAAATGATTTATATTCTTAAAACAGACTTCACTGATCCTAACATTTCACTATAAATTAGGTTTGGGGAGACTAAGTACTTAAGGGGTTCTAGAGAAATGTAAAAATTAAAATCTTGGTTCAGAGATCAGAATCTAGAAGCAAATATATTTAAAAGAAATGAGTGCTTTTATTTCAGGAAATCTTTAGATTGACTTTGATATTTTTCAGTAATGAAATTGGTCGTTGGTTTGGTCCTAAGACTATTTAAAAGCTAGAATGATTAAAGGAGTTCCCAAATGGTAAAGATAAAGCATTCCTTGTGGAGATGTCCAAGAAGATTTTATGCCATATCTAATACTCCAGTTTCATGCCTGTTGGGGGGTTAGATCAGTACTCTTTCAGGTTACAGTTTTGACCCAACAATGAGATTTCATATTACAAATACTCCTGTGGGGATTTCTTTTTAAATGAAGAAAGAAAATAGCAATTCCAAGGAAAAACTCTTTCTCAAAATAGAACTGTACTTTGCTTTCCTTACACTGCCTTACCACCCTCAGTTACCTTCAGCTTTTCATTATTGACAGATTGCTAATGTTGTATAAGGTAATAATAGTTCTTATTTTCTTTCTTCAGGTTCTTGGTGAGATTCAGGAAATCGTGAAAACGGGGCTGTGGGTAGGCGATTGCTTCATCTACACAAGTTCTGTGAATAGATTAAATTACTATGTCGGAGGAGAAATAGTCACCATTGCTCACTTGGACAGGTAGCTGAGCATAATTTTGGTTTTTGTCTTATGCATTCTAAATTTAAAAGTGTGCCTTTAAACAAAACTTACTGCTGGCTTGTCGCAATGCTAGGCTGATTTTTCTGTGTTACAGTTTTAGAAGGTTGCGTGTTATTAACCAAAATTGTATCCAATCAAGTGGAAGGATTTTGAGTAAGAGGCATGGTGAGGGGTGGGTGTGAGTGTGCGTGTGTACACATGTGTGCATGCATCGAACTGCAGATTTGAGTTTAATTCTCATTTAGTTTCTGTTTCTGTCATAGGACAATGTATCTCCTGGGCTATATCCCTAAAGACAACCGGCTTTATTTGGGAGATAAAGAATTGAACATCGTTAGCTACTCCCTACTGGTTTCAGTCCTGGAATACCAGACAGCTGTCATGCGGAGGGACTTTGGCATGGCCGATAAGGTCCTTCCTACCATTCCAAAAGAACAGAGGACCAGAGTTGCACACTTTTTGGAAAAGCAAGTAAGAGGTTTTTTGTTTTGTTTTGGTTTGGTTTTCTTTTTGTTTTTCAAAACTAGCAATTTGAAAGAATGTTGGGCCTGAAAATTTTTTTTTTCTTGATCCACTGAGTTCCTGATGGCAATGGCATGTCTCCTAAGGCACTTGTTTAAATGTGTGGCACAGTCTCCTTAAGCTCTTCCTTCTCCCTTTTCAGTGCCCTGGGTACTCCTTTGAAACACTGGAGGTGATTTATCAGTCTTCCCTCATGTACACCTCTCTTCCAGTCTCTTAAAGCTGTTATTGCTATACTGCATTTCTTTTCTTTTTTTTTTAATTGTGAAAAATTTTACACATATAAGATTTACTGGTGACATTCTTTTTGCTTTGTGTAATTTTATTTATGATTTTGTATTTATATTTAATTGTTGCCCATCTTTATATCATACCGTATGGTTTTCAAAGCATGTATGGAGTGCCTGGTAATCAAAGGTATTACCATACATATGTAATTTTCCTTATATATTTATGAACTTTATGCTCTTATAGCTGTTAAATATTTTTTTCCTGGGCTGTCCATCCTCTCCTCTCCACCTCCTCCTGTACAGTCTCTGGTGTCTGCACTTACCCCCTCACACTATTATGTCTTCAGGTCTTTCCGTTTCTGCCATAGAGTACAGACATTCAGTACATACTGAGCAGGGATATGCAGTGTTTGTCTTTCATAGTCTGGCTTGCTTCGCTTAGCATTAAATTTTCTATATTCATCCATCTTATATTGAATGATAAGGTCTCATTGTTCTTTATAGCTGAGTAGTAGTCCATAATATATGTGTGCCAACCTTTTTCAGTCTAGTTATGAGACACTTAGGTTGATTCCATGTCTTAGCAATTGTGAATAATGCTGCAGTAAGCATGGATATGCAAGTGGACTAAGTGTTTTCCTATCTTTTGGGTAAATAGCAAAGAGCGAGATTACTGTGTCATATGGTTGTCCTCTTTGTAAGTTTATGCAGGAAAATATATATCAATGAGGATATAAATGACATTTTTAATTTTTTGAGTATTTTCACCCTATATGATGTGCTTCTTCCACATGCCTTTATTGATTGGTTTTTATCTCTGTCTTTCTTATAAGTTTCTCTGCGGTACCTGATGATCCTTGGGCCCTTATGTAAGAGTGGAGGTCTAAGGCAGATCTGGGTTTGTGGGTGGGGCTTGTTGAGTCTGGACTTCACAATATGTGATGTGGTTGGATCATCTGATTAGGGAGCCCTACTCTCAGTATCTTCATTTCATGCATTTAGTGACTTCTCATTCATTTAATTAACTTAATGAGCAACACACCAGGCACTGTTCTGGCGGACATACAGTCCTCAGAGAGGAGACGTGTTAGTGTAAGGTCTTTCCTCTAGGCTAGTTACACATTACAGAGGTGCTTCCCAGTCGGTGTCATTCTTGGGCCAAGCAGAAGATTAAACTTGTCTCGGGATTTAGTACTTTATTAGTCTCCATTTCCATTCTCAGGGTCCCCTGTTTTCCTTTTGATACTCCTTCCTCCAGGTGCTATTTATCCTCCAGCCTGGATACCCTCTGGTTAAACTATCTTTTTTGTGCCTCAAGGGGTGGGAGTGGATTTGGGATGTCTAACTGCTTTGAGATAGTTTATCTTTAGCACCACCCTTTACAAGCTCCTTTAGGTATGAATCAAGTTGTTTCTGTGCTATCCTCACTCCTAATTTAGGATTAGGTTTTCTCTTAGTGTATTTATAAAATTTTGTTACAGTGTTTCCTATTTTTTTGGTGTGTCCTTACAAGTTCATGCCTTTAAAAAGAATGATCCTTTTGATTTCATTGTAATGGGGATTTAGGAGGAAACAGAAGTGTGTATATTTAGGCCACCTGGTTCATCTGCTTTCCCCTTGCCTATATCCGACTGGATATGGAACCTTCCATCTTCCACTTTGGGAAAGTATGTTGCCTATGTCAGTGCTAGTGAGGAGAGTACGTAACTGAGATTAGAATGCCTTATTTACATTGTACTTCTGGATGAACTGGCAAGGGAGAAAGGAGCAGCAATTGGCATAATCTGGGAAGTTAAAACATTATAAGCACAACAATGAAGCCACTCTGAGATCTGGCCGCAGATGCCTGTGAAAACCCTTGCAGTCTTACCCACCTAGTTTGATGAGGAGGTAAACTTGCCCTGAACTTTTTGTCTAGCTTGCCACATCCCTAGAATTGAACAACACGCCTATAGAACAGAATCCACCAGGACTGTTTGTCTTGGAGAATAAGCTAATTTAGTAATTGCAAGAGATGGTTTCAATGCCTGTTCCAGGCCCAGCCTGCGGCCTGGTGTTGATTCGATCCTGGACATGGGGGATTCAGAAACATGCTGTGCACATGTGCATGTGCATGTGTGGCCAGACTCCCTGAAGAAGGGAGAGATGGAGGAGGAGGGATTGCAGCATGGACATGCCCCACAGAGGGTGCTTTCTTGCTTCCTGTTTCTAGACTCTCTCTCTTTCCAGTGAACATGTGTGCCCTTTGGCAAAAATTTAAAAAATAAAAGCCTCTTCTCCTTGATAGCATGAAGGACTTCCTGTTCTTTGTGATACTTGCTGATAGAGACTGGACATGAGACTAGCAGTGAAGGCATAGGTAATGACACCCGATCAGTGTCCAGACCTGAGTACCAGATGTCTGCTAAGGGACCTAGGAGATAGGAGATTGGAAGGCTTGCATTTGCCTTTCTTTACTTTGCCCGTTTATTGCCAGTAACCTAATCGGTGAAAGGAGCACTGAACTAGATGACCTCTTAAAGCCAGTTTAGTTGTGCAAGTTACTGACAGCTGAGTTCACCATATCTGTTTTCTTCGTTTGAAATGACTCTTGTTAAATCAGTTTTCCAAAACTGCTTTCTTGTTTGGCATTTCTGTTGATAGCTATATTTCTAATTTAATAGTTGTTGGTTTACTTGTTTATCTAGCATTGGCCAGCTTCCATTATCCTAAAATACAGTAGATTAATTACTCCTTCATTTCTCTATCTTCACATTAAAGAGTATGTTTTCTTGAATTTTTATGTTAGTAGTAGGGTTTCTGTGTCAGCAAGATATTTTTACTTCCAGAGGGAAAAGGATGATCTGCCGTGTACGTGCATGCGTACTGTATATGCCTGACATATTTATATGCATAAATCACATACACATATCCTCTGTATATCACACACAGTGTATTTATTTTAATCCACTTAGGGCTTCAAGCAGCAAGCTCTTACAGTATCCACAGATCCTGAGCATCGTTTCGAACTTGCTCTTCAACTTGGAGAGTTAAAAATTGCCTACCAATTAGCAGTAGAAGCAGAGGTATGTACTCATTTTCGTAACTGGTCAATAGGTACTTCTGTGTGTGTGGTATAGCTTTATGAATACTTCTCAAATATAAATTAATGACTCATTTTTGTCTCTTCAGTTTGTTTTTAAAGATGCTTTATGTTCATCTTTGCATAAATCAAATGGATGATATTGGAGAAATTCTTAGTACTCTTATTTAAGAAAAAGTGTTTACCTATCTTAACAGATCTATTTTGCAAGAGAAGCAAAGGCGTAGCATAACTGGTAAACTAGCCTGGGAACTCTAAAAGAATACAAATAAAGCAGCCAGTATTCCAGACTAGTGAGAAAGTTATTGGTTTCAAAGGATTCTGACATTCTGATAGACACTTTCATGGATCTTTATATATTGAGGATTCCCAATTGTAGTTTAATTGTAGCACTTACTGATAAATTAATTTCAAATGTGCAAAATAAATTTTAGCTATGTTCAAAATCATCCACATTTGCAGCATTTTATTTGATTTCTGGGAAGCTAAAGTGACAGGTAATATTTATTTATTCTTATTAAATATTTAGAACCTAAGAAACAATTTTCTGCTCTTCAAAAAAAGTGATATTAAATCACTTGCAATCTAATTACCTTAAAACTCATTAGATGGTTTTACTTTTAGTTTCACTGTGTAATTACAAAATAAAAATATAATGAGTTGATATTCATATATCATTAAAGTTGATTTGTGTTTGGATTAATTTTGTATATGTGAATAAGTTCCATTTTCTCATTATCCATTTTGTCATGTCATTTTTATTTTGATGAATAGAGTGAATGTAACAATAACAAGCACAGCTCTGCTCGTGGGGGCTCACTCGCACTCTCTCTCTCTCTCTCTCCCTTTCTCTCTCTCTCTCTATATATATATCTATTATATATATCATTATAATGATATATTATATATATATATATATATCATTCATTCCATGTTGGCACAGTGATGTTCAAATGAACAGAATATGGTGTTGCTATTTGAAATTTAAATGTTTATTTCCAGAGAAGTTTTAACTTGAGAACTTTCTTACAGTCAGAACAGAAGTGGAAGCAGCTTGCTGAGCTGGCCATTAGTAGGTGTCAGTTCGGCCTAGCCCAGGAGTGCCTGCACCATGCTCAGGACTATGGGGGTCTGCTGCTTTTGGCCACTGCCTCTGGAAACGCTAGCATGGTGAACAAGCTAGCAGAAGGTGCAGAGAGAGATGGCAAAAACAACGTGGCGTTCATGAGCTACTTTTTACAGGGCAAGTAAGTATGAATCTAAGGTCTGAGACCTTGGTGAGCATAGTAACTAAAAGCAGTTACTACAAGTGACATCGAGGTTGGTTTTGGAAGGAGTGTTCAGAGTGAGCCCTGGAGATAGAACTGAGGTGACTGTTGCACAGTGGAGACAGCCACTAGTGCTACCTCGTGGCACTCACCTTCAGCAAAGGAAGCTTTAGACGTTTGGCTTAAACGAGTGAGCTGAATGAGCTGTTCAGGGAGGCGAGAAAAAGGGTAACCTTCTTTCTCAATGGCCCCCTGCCTGTTAGCGATGGAACATTTATCCTTGTGATGGCGGTGGGCAGTTGTGCTGCTCTAGCTGGTCCCCAAGCGGCAGGTGATTTTACCCAAACTGGATAATGGCAAGAATAAAGAGAGGGTGAGGGTACTAGCTATGTTTAGGTTTGAGCCCAGCTGTGAAGCCTAAGAGTGTCACATATTTATAACTCTAACAGAGTTAGCCAGAACAGAATCATTTGGACACAAATTGGCTATATTGTGCAATTAAGAAAGTACTCATCAGCCTTGTCCTATATACTAATTCCACATTTCATCATAAAACTTTAAATGTGCCCCTTAATACATGTAAATGAATGTTTATAAATTCATATACCTATAATAGGCCTACTGTTCCTTAACCATAATTCAAAAATCCAAAATATTAAAAATTTTTTGTAACTTAATGATTTGCAAATTCAAACCTGAACTCTGATGTACAATTTCTAGTTTCTTTTATGCCACTTTTTTTTTAAAGGTCATTTATTTATTCCACACATGAGAAAGAAAGACAGCACTTCTGACAGTCCTGACATCACGATTCTCCCCCGCTTAGCCAGTGCTGACCCTGGACACATTTGTACCAGGCAACCCACAGCCGTCCCACCTGGGTCTGCCTCACCAAGCACTGTGCTTTACATGTTGTGCCACTGTCGGGCCCCACCACTTTTTTGTAATGCCAGAGTGTATGAGAGAGAAGGGGAGAGACAGCACCTAGCAACAGGCTCTTATTCTCCGTCCTATCAAGATTTCGGACATACATGTGCTGCTACAGGTCTAGCCCATTTTCCAGGCTGCCAGTGGGAACCCTGCTTGGCCCTCTGGGATCCGGCTGCCTCTGCACAGCACTTAGCTGCTGTGGTATGGGCTCTCCTTATTAGTATGTTTATCGTACTTAATGTTCATGTACCTACAGAAAAATTGTGTGGTTTTCGTTTGATGCTAAGGATGTTAGGACAGTATATGCACTATTACCTTTCTAAAATAAAAGATTCTGAAATCTGAAGCATATTATCCACTTTATACAGCTCACAGGAAAAAATAAAATGAAATTAGAGACTGAAGAAAAAGAGACACTTCTGTATTCTCCTGGGTACTACTGAATTGTCTGGCCCAGGCCCACACTGGAGACACTGCCCTCAATATTCCCACTTACGAAACGGAGCTTCTGCTCACATAATGTCCTGAAGCCTTTACAATGTGCTGATCTAACCTGCTTTAACTCCTTTCGCCCCATTAGGTTCTTAGGAGCTGTTAAAACTAAATTGTAGATCGAAAGTGGCCACAAAAGCTGTCTTATCCCTCACACCCCAGAGTCCATTGATTATGTAACACACCATTAAGACAAGTAAATGAGATCTGTGTGTGAGGGCGTTGAGATGGTTGACTCTGCAACACTGAATCCACTTCTCTGTCAATGTGTCATTATTGTAGGGTTTCTTCTTGGTAACAGCACCTCTGCTCTCAACCTTTAGGCTTGATGCGTGCCTGGAGCTCTTGGTTAGAACTGGACGGCTGCCAGAAGCTGCCTTCCTGGCCCGAACTTACTTACCCAGCCAGGTGTCAAGGTACAGCCCTTTAGCTTTAGGAAGAACTGTCTCAAATAGAAGTAGAGCACACCTACTTAGTCTCTGTTTGGTTCCATGCAGGGTAGTGAAGCTCTGGAGAGAGAATCTCTCCAAAGTCAATCAGAAAGCAGCAGAATCCCTTGCTGACCCAACAGAGTATGAAAACCTTTTTCCTGGATTAAAAGAAGCCTTTGTTGTTGAAGAGTGGGTGAAGGAAACACATTCTGATCTGTGGCCAGCCAAACAATACCCACTTGTCACGGTGAGTGGCTGGGGTGTCAGGCTTCCTTTTAGTGTGACTACAGGGTGGAATCTATTTACAGCTTTAGGTTTTGAACGGACAGAACTACTGTCTGAGACTGAGGCCAAGTTCAGAATGCTTACGTGAGAATACTTATTATTGGTTTCTTCTCTGGTAGCCAAATGAAGAGAGAAATGTAATGGAAGAGGCAAAAGGCTTTCAGCCCTCAAGATCTGCAGCACAGCAGGTCAGTGGAGTTCTCGTGATAGCCTGGTTGAGATTGATTCTGTCAGTGCTCTCTCCTGCTTCCTAATTCTCATCCTCTTTCCCTTTGTCCTCATATGTCTCTCTCCTTGGGCCTTCAGGAACTTGATGGGAAACCTCCTTCCCCGACTCCAGTTATCGTGGCCTCCCACACAGCCAGCAAAGAAGAAAAGGTAGGTCAGAAACCACAGCCACACCTCCCCTGAATGTCTGAGGGTGTACAGGCCTGTGTGGTTTAAGTTATGTTTCCCAAGGGGGGCTCTCAAATAGATGCTCTTTTGGACAGTTCAGAAAATTTTAGTTCTTGCTTTTTGGATGGTGAACCACAAAGAACTTTTCTTTCACACAGTACTTAGAACTTCATCACCCTTTTCCTTTGTTTGCAGAGTTTACTTGAACTAGAAGTAGATTTGGATAACTTGGAATTAGAAGATATTGACACAACAGATATCAATCTGGATGAAGATATTTTAGATGACTGAACATGATGTTTCCCATTTACCCGACTGAACAGATCGTCATTATGTATGGGATTGATCGTCACCTTGACCGCAGCACCTTGGACTATGAGAACCTCCCTAGGTTTTGTATGTACAGCTGTGGACTGGGAACACAATTCCCTCCTTGTCTTAGGAGGAACTTATGGGCAGCATTTAAATCACTGTGTTTTCCTTGTTAACTAAAACAGACACAGGCTTTGATTTTCTTCATACTGTCATTAGACTCCATGTCATAAATCTTTTGAATTAATGAAGATACTTCAGTTTCCTTTCTGAATAAAAGAAAGGCTTCTAGTTTCTAGGCGGAGCCAAAACTCTACTCTACCTAGGAACCAGCCCCACACTGTTTTCTGTGTATAACTAAATCTTCATTTCCAAACATCAGCACTCATAGTTTTCCATGCTATAATTCTTCAGACTCTGAGCTCACTGCATCATTCCCCTTAGTCTGTGTGACTTGGGTGGCATGAGCTGGGTTCGTGTGCCTTGTCCTGATTTGTCTGGGAGCTCGTTTCTGGAGTTAGGGTCTGTTCCTCTGACTTCTTTAAACTGGGCTTTAAATTACCTATTGGGTAACACAGAAAGGCACAGTTTTGGGGTTTTTACTATCCACTTATCTAATGTGAGTAGAGACATTCATAACCAGGCAAATATACTCCTTGGAGCCCAGAAAAGTGAGCAGGTTAACAGGTTTTGTGTTTTTTTACAGAGGAAGTCTCTGGAATCTAAAAAGCAAAAACAAAAAAGCAAACAAAACAGAACTACAAATAAGTACCTTTTAATCTTGCCCTTTTTTTTCCCGGTAATTTGCCAGAGGATGTTTACCAGAGAGGAGAGGGTGAAAGCACCTCCCCCCTGCCCAGTGGGGCATGGTCACGCCACCATGTCTTCTCCTCCAGTTCTCCATCTTGTCAGGATTTGGGGCATGCACGTACACACACCCAGCACATTTTGGGATTTAAACTGGTCAGCCATGTCAGATCTGTTGGATCCAGATGCCTTAGTCATGAAGCCAAGGAGCTGGCCCTTTATCTTGACATTTTTAAACAAATATTCGGCTCAATATTTAACAAAGAGAAAGGTAGATATTCAGTTAAATAAAATATATTTTAATATTTTCAGGATGCTGCAGAATGGCTAATGAATGCTTCTTGATAAGCTTGCAGTGTTAATTCTATATATGGGCCTTTTTGTGCTTCTGTTTTTGCAAACACCTGTTTAAATGATAAAAAAGAAAGTTTTTAAAAATAGGACATATGCTATTTATAAAATTTTTCATTACCATTTCTGTAATAGCAAATTACAATCCCAGTTAAAAAGGTTTTCCCAAGTTTCACTATAATTTTTCCCCAATAATTGTAATAATGAGTATACATAGACAGAAAACAGTATCCAACATGGTTCAAGCAATACCAATTCTAAACACCAGAAGTCTAATATGGCTGCTATCTTTCTCAGCCTATTTTCAAAAAAAACCCCAAAAACTTAGACCCTGACATTGCACCATTTTCTGCGTCAAAATTAATACCATTAGGGGGCTGAGCCATAGTGGCAAAAGTGGAAGGGTGGCACTGCATGACAGGGCCATGTGGGAGGCCCAGGTTCAGATCCCAGACAAACCTGAACAGGCCGAGCATGGTGGTGAGCGCCTATAGTCCTAGTTGGCTAGGAGGCTGGGGCTGAGGGTCACAGCTGTGAGGCGGTCAGAAATACCACTTTCTCTCTCATTGAAAATAAATAAAACCATCAAGTTTGAAAATAATCTAGGGGATGAGAATTAGCAAAGTAATTTCTCACTTTAAAGAATGTTTTCTGTAAGGCATTATGCTTTGACTTAACCACAGAAAAATCAGGGTTAGTTCTGTAATTCTCTATTCCTCCAGGTATCCTCACTAGTCATTTTTATCTCTAGTGAGCCTTATAACTTCTCTGCAGTGTGGAAAAATACTACTGGGATTGAGGCCAGTTCCACAAAACTATGTCTCTTCTGAGCATCAGAAGAGATGAAGTTAACAATGATGTCTCTTTTCTTGGGGAAAAAAAAAAAATCCTTCTCAACTCAGCATTTGTAGATGAAGCTGTGTTTGAGAGGTGTGTGGTTCCAAAATGACGGTTCAGTAAGGCCTAGTAATAGCCAAGCACCAGACTCTCCCCTTGACATCTGTTCATGTTCCCTGATAGGAAGTAACCACACTTGGAACCATCAGATGGTATAATGGTTACATCACTGGATTCCCATGTAGTCAACCATGGTTCAAGTCCCAAATCCAGCGGCTTGAAACTCATAGTGTGTGTGCATGCGAGCCCCAAATCCCAAGAGGATAATGGAGAAGGGACTGCGGTGTGGCCATTCCTTTGGAGGGTGGGGGTGGGGAGCGATTTCTTGCTTTCTGTCTCTCCAGCGAGCACACACACCCTACAGCAAAAATCCCTTTAAAAAATAAATGACCACACCGAAGGACAGAACGCTGCTCTTAGGAACATGTGCCAGATAGTTTTCCCCCTGTCCTGCTGGTGTTTTGAACACTTCAGATGCAGCTCAGCCCTTCTAGTGCTCTGGAGGACAGAGGCCACTGCCCCCACTATCTGGTCTCTGGCCTGCAGCTGCCAACATGCCCACGCCCCATCTACTTGCCGCTCCTCCCTGCCCGCCCACTTATGTCTGTGTCCAGGCCGAGGGAACATGAGGGCTATAACCACACTGATGGTTCCGAGCCCCACAGATGGTCCATTCGCTAATCTGTTTAGTTACCATGAAATATGAACCACTCCTGAGCATGTCCCATCTGTTAACACTACAGCACGGCCCGTGTGAGAAAAGACCCTTTACCTTAATTAGGTTGATTCCCTCGGCAGCCTGCTCTCTGGCCTCTTGAGCGGACTGGCCGTCTGGATGGACTATGTGATACAGCTGCACCAAGCTGGCGGCATCATCGATTCTGGAGTGAGGAGGCTTAACGTTACCAAGGGGTTTCCTTCATCTGCTTCACACTAGGAAAGTGTGCCAGCCTCAAACTAAATTACAGTTCAGACTTTCTAAGGTCAAGGGTGGGATTTGGTTTTGCATTTCCAAAAACATTTTCAGGAAA